CCCGCGCAGGTGCAGAGCGAGGGAGAGCGGGGAGAGGGACGCACAACATCACACAAGATGCCTCGCAACCGCGTGCAGGGACGCATGGACACAGCCTCACTCCCGGGCAGGGGCACCACGGGTGAGAGAGGCCCCGGGAGCGGACACGCAACCCACCACCACAGACCAACACACAAGGCACCCCAACACCGCCTGAAAGGGCCCAGAAAGGAAGTCCAGGACATTCAGACCTGGCCCCTGGGGAGGCAAGACAGCCCTCCCCCATGGCCCAGAAGCCCTGCCAGAGGGAGACACACAGCACCCCAAGCCCGCAAGAGGAGAGAGTGGCACACACCAGGAGGGGGATACACAGCTGGATGGCCCTGCTCCAGCAGGGGTGCTGGGGCCCAGTAGTGGGATGCAGGACAGACAGAGGCCAGGCCAGGTCACCACAGAAAGGGCCAGGTAGAACAGAGGGAAGGAGGAGGAGGGGGCCTCAGGCACTCCACACACACAGCAGCACAGGGAGCCCCAGGAGCAGTGGAGGAGAAAAGACAGGAACCACAGTAGACAGCAAGACAGGCTAGCAGGAGGGGAAGGAGGTAGAGAGGGACCATCCCCAAACAGCTGGTGAAGCAAGTGACCTCCCAGACCAAGGCCAAGGAGAGGCCCAGAGAGATGTGGACAGAGACAGAAGCAGAGGCCAACTCTCTGAAGCAAGGACACCAGGGGTGGGGGAAACCTTGATACTCACCCGGTGCCCAGAGCCGGAGACGTGCCAGGTGAACACGCACAATGGTCAAGCGCCTCAGACCCTCGGGGCGCAGGGTGGCATTCCAATCCCACTCCCTCTCCCCATGTTGTCATTTCTCTTCCCACTCCAACCCTGACCCTTCCCCACTGGCCAGAACACAGACACATAGGTTTGGACACATTTAATGGAAGGACGCTATGAACAAGGAGACCCTTCCTTGGCTTGTGGGACGGCGGAGGAGAGTGTCATCTCTCAGACACTAGATTATGACCCTCCCTCTCCCACAGCCCTGCCCTCTGGAAGCCCAAGCCCTGCAGTCCTCCCTTCCTCTGCTCTCCCCTCCCCCAGCATTCCAGATCCTGAATTCCAGATCAATCAGAGAGATGCAGATGCATGCACACACTCCTCTGTGCTGACACGCACAGCAACATGCACAGACCCACAGATGTGTACAGAGACCCGCCTGTCCACATGTGTGATCAGACACATGAACACTTCTGGCAGTGCTTGCCCACAGACTCAGAGAAGCACAGATATGCAGAGCCAGTTGCACAGTTAGCACAGTCACAAATGACCCGGATATATCAATATATCGAGTGGGACAGAGCATTTTTACAGGGACCTCCATCTAAAGGCTTTCCAGCCACACATGCACACGGATGGGTGTCATGCACACCTACAGAGACACACATCCACACATTGGGAAACCTCAGCTCTGGTCGTGCACACGCACACATTCATTCACCCCACAGGCACCCCGTCCTTCCCATCCTGACCCCGTCCCCTCCCTGCCCCTCCCCTCTCACCTCCCTGGGCCAATCCCATCCATCAAGCTTCAGAAGCAAGTCAGCCAGCAGCCAGGGAGGGGAAAGGTGTCAGTGTGCCCCTCTCCCGACCCCATCCCACCTGGCCCTACCCGTCCCCTCCCTACACCAGTGCAAGGCAGGGGATGCACACACACTTCCACTGCATGTGACTGCACGATGGGGCACATGAAGGAGACCAGAACCTCCACCCAGCCACACACACGAACACCCCCGGGGTACCCAGCCACCTCATTAGTCTCTGGCTACCCCAAAATGGACAGTCTCAGTGGCTGCCAAGCATGGTTTGCAGTTGGACTGAGTTGTCTGAAGCCAACTGCCTTCTCCCACCCTTGACACCCCTTCAAATTTTGGGAGGAGATGAGATGGGGGCTTAGAGCTGGTGGACATAGCTAAAGTGTGGAGCCTGCAGGAAGACTAGGGCGGGGGGCACCTGAGAGTGTAAAGACATTTACCTTGGGGCATCAAAGCTGTCGTAGGAGCCCACAGTATAATGCCGGAAGAGTCTCTTTGCTTTGTCACTGCGGCTTTCTGCAGGAGGACAAGGAACAATCTTGAACCCTTGCTTTGGAATCCATGAGCCCACCCCAGGCTCCTGACCTGAGCCTTCCTTCTCCTCCAGCACCACACCCGTTCCCCAGGAGGAGGAGAGGAAGGGAGATGAGGATTCTAGGGTGTACTGGGGACAGTTGGGAGTTCCTCGTTACCTTGCTTTCCCTCCTGGGAACGGTTTGCCACCTCTTCCAAGCAGTCAGAAGGGAACCAGCCAACACGACCTTTGACCTGGCCTTCCCAGAAGCCTCCTTCCCCGATGCTGAGCACTGGACAGGAGCAGAGACAGGGGAACATTTTGATGTGTCTCTGCTGCTCCCCAGCCACCAGCACACTCCTGAACACGTAACCTGCCCACAATCCCTAGCACCTGGCTTACGGGCATCCTCAAGAAATGTCTGAAGAAGGGTGAGGGGATCGTGGGAGAACCAAACCATGTCACTATTACCTTCAAGATTTCTGGACCCAAAGGGGGACATCAAGAAACACAGGAGTGAGGGGAGCTGGGCCTGATGGTACACGCCTGTAATCACAGGGACTCCAGAGGCTGAGGCAAGAGGATCGCAATTTGAGGCCAGCGTCAGTAACTTAGCAAGACCCTAAACAACTTAGTGAGACCCTGTCTCAAAAAATCAAAAGGTCTGGGGATGGATGTAGCTCAGTGCCAACAACCTTGGGTTCAATCGCCAGTACCAAAAAAACAAAAGATGGGGCTGGGGTTGTGGCTCAGTGGTAGAGCACTCACCTAGCACGTTCAAGGCACTGAGTTCAGTCCTCAGCACCACATAAAAATAAACAAAAGAAAAGTATTGTTTAACTAAAACTAAATTAAAAAAAAGAAAGAAAGAAAGAAAGAAAAGAGCCATGGCGGAGGGCGGGGGGAGGCATTTCCTGACATGGTCCTCCCAGGTTAGGGGCAGGTCCTCCGTCCTTATCTATCTCCCCTGGTCATCCGCCGCAGCCAAGCTGTATAATTCCCCTAAACCATCCTAGGCCCTGTGAACTTGGGTGGCCATTGCAAGGACAAGCTGTGCTCCCCCTGCCACCCTGCTTCTGCCACATTCTGAAGTGTCCTTGCCACTTAAGTCTTTTATCCTTTCCTCCAGGGCCCTCCCTCGGCCTCTTTGCCTCCCTTGGCTCTCGAAAGAAAAAGAAATTAAAATCTCCTCCTTCCTTCTCCTCACCACAACTCAGGATGCTTGCTGCCAGCTCCACCTCTTGGCCAGCAGGCACATCTTCACCCTGTGCCTGTTACATGCCTGGCGTTGAAGTACAGAGACGGGGGACCAGGCCAGCAACGTTTACCCAGCTCTCACTCTGTGCCAGAACCCTACAGTGAGCATCTTCACTATCGCTGTTTTACTGACAAGGAAACTGAGGCTCAGGGAGCAACATCATTTGCCCAAGGTTCTAGGGCCCGTCACTGGCAGGGTGGCTTTGAACACAGATCAGTTTCCAGAGCTGATGCTTTGAGTCATTAATGTGCTGCTAACTTTTCATCCAAGGCTCATTGCTGCTGCTGCTGCTGCTGACAAGTGATAGACACACGTCTTCCCCGTTCCCAGCATTCCTCATGACTCTGTCCCCACTCCTCCACCTCATTCAGTCTTTGCACCCACCCAGGGAGGTAACAACTGTTTTTCCACTTTGTGCATGAGGACACTGAAGGTGACAAAAAAAAAAATCCCCTATCTGGAGATGGCTCAGGCCACTCTAGGAGTTGAGATCCTTTTCCCTACACAAACGGCCTCCTTTGCTAGGATGTGGGGAATTCAGCTGAGGAGTCCAGGGTCATGCACAAGAGCAGAGATGGAAAGTCCAGGGGCCTGGGTTCCTGGCTGGCTCTGCCATGCTTGGCTGGGCAGTCTCGTAATCAGTCATTTGTTCTGGATGGACACTTATTTAGTGCCAGTCATGACCAGGGTAGACACTGTTGCACACAATCACTGTGGCCCCTGCCCTCAGGGAGGTCCCAGACAAGTGGCTGTTGGAGAAGTAACTCTACAAGCCACTGCAGGATTGGAGATTGAGGCCAGAACTCAAAGGGAAAGAACAGGGTGCTGGGAGAGAGGGCAGATGGGAGTGCATAAACTAGATGGCAGAGGGCCCTGGGGTCCCTGAGGATTGACATGTTGGCTGGAGAGCTCAAGGATCCCAGGAGCTGAGGAGGCAGAGAGCGAGAAGAAGGGCTTTGCAGGCAGAAGGAAGAGTCTGGCACAGAAAAGGAGGTAAAGTGTGTGGAGAGCGGAGAGAAGGAGAAGGTCTCCAGAACCGCATGCGTGAAGGAAGAGTGGGCAGGAGGGCGCCGAGGCCAGGGGACGAGGTTGGGCTTTGACTGTGGGAGCAGAGGGAGCTGGTGAGGAGCTCAGGGGCCTCAGGCATGCAGGCAGCCCGGGACAACCAAGTCCCCAAATGAAAGGGGGATGTGAAGACAGGAGGAAGTGGGTCCTCTCCCTACACAGAAAGACTGTGGGAGATACTGCTCTGGTCTTGGGCACCCTGAAGGTCCCTTGCCCCGGCCTCGGCTCCCCTGTCTTCTTTCCCTCATCCTCTCCCCCCACTTCCCAGGCCACTGGCTCTGACGCATCTTGTCATTCATCCATTCACTCAGCAAATGTGCACTGCGCCTCCTGTGTGCTGGGTCACTAAACTGGGCCTTGGTGACCCACAGACCAATGACCTGTCTGCAGGAACTCAGACTATGGGGAGACAGACGACAAAGCAGACCAAGGAATCAACCTGGTCCCCGCGTGCCTCTTCAGGCCTTCCTCTGCTACCTGGGTGGCCGGGCTGTCCTCTTCTAAGTGCCTGAAGGAGGGCCACTTATGACACCTTACTCAGGGCTTATTATGTGCAAAGCATTGGTCTAAATGCTTTATAAGACCATTTCCAGCCTTGTAAGGGTCTTATTTTAAAGATGAGGGAACTGAGGCCCACTCAGAAGTGGTGGGGCAGGATTTGAACCAGGCAGCCTGGCTCTCAGCCACCACACTGCTCCTTCTCCTGGTGTTGACCTTGAGTCTGCAGCTCACCTCCCTCCTCCAAAGCACTGTGCTATCCAAGAACACACCGAAGGCCCCGCCAGGTCTGCGTGTGGGGGCCAGTGCACTGTTCTCCAGGGGAGAATGGGAAAACCAGAGAGGCCACCCTGGTATCAGCAGCCCCCACTGACGGAGCCCTGGCCTCAGCCCAGCCTCACACACCTGCCACCTCCTCAGAGCACCCTCCCATTTCTCAGATGAGAACACCTGGCTGAGGCAGGAGGTGAAGTCAAGGGTGCTGGGCTTGGACTGGGGACATTGGGAGAGTCACTTCATCTGTGTCCCTTCACCTATACCATGGGGCTCAGGACCCCTTCCAGAAAGGGCGATCAGACATCTAATGAGACCAGGCGGTGAAATACTCCAACCTAGCCGCAGGGTCCCGCGAAAGCTCCCTTCCCTCCTTCACCGGGACCCTGCTCCTGGCAGGATCCTCTCAGTGTGCCTTCTCTTCCAAGGCAGAGGGACCTCTTGGGGCTCACTGGGGGCCCCAGAGTGCAAGGGACATTCTAGGTGCCTAGGTGCTGCCCAGATTCACCACGTCTCCTCCCAAACGAATGTGGCTCGCCTGCCCCCGCCTGGCCCCACAGTGCTGCCCGTCCCGGCCCGTTACCTTTGATCTTCTCGCCCTTGCTCAGGGAGATTTCCCCCTCAGCTTGGGCCTGGTACGACTTGACAGCCATGAAGGAGCGTCCAGGTACCGCTGAGTAGAGCTTCCTGCGCCTCCCGCGGCTGCCCAGGGAGCCCCCAGGGCCCCCTGAGCCCCCTGTGCCCCCGGCTGGCCCTTCCCGGGGCGTCCCGCTGGAGCTGCATACACAGAGGGTGTAAGAGGCAGGGGGCGTGGAGAGAGGGGGCATCTCTGGGAGAACAGGGGTCCTCGGGTGGGAGGGGGATGGCGCACAGAGTGGGGGAGGGGTGAGTGGGTTTCCCAGCTCTGGAGCCCTCCGGGGAAGAGGGCATTTAGAGGCTCCCTCTGCCTGCCCGCCCCTGCACCCCAGCCCCCTCTCCTGCTCCCGGCTTCCGCTCTGCCCCCTCCCACGGTCCTGCACACACTGCCTGATTCAGCTTCCTGAAACGGAGCTGGGACTGTGTCATCCCTCAGCTCAGGAGCCCTCCGCGACTCCCAGCCTCCTCCTGGGTCGGGTCCAGGTCCTCTGACCACCCCTCCCGGCCTCTCCCACTTCCTCGCGGTGCCTGGCTGGCCCTGCTCTCTCTGCCCAGGCCGGCCTCCCTGCCCTCGAATGACTCCTGCCCATCCTCCCTCTGCCCCTGGTGACCTCTTCTCCTCCCTGGGCTCATCCCCAAGTCTGGACACCCTCCCAAAGCCCCTGCCCATGCCCACAACCCTCCTCCTGCTCACCCCACCCTGACATTCTGTCTGTCCTCAGGGGCTGGAACTGATCCTTCTTTTGGGGACCCCCAGTCCCAGGCCCCTGTCATGCACAGGTGCTTAGCTACAATTGGGGGATTTGGGGAGGGGGTCAGGAGGGCAGCTGGTATGTCCCCACTTATTCCTGGGGACCAACGCCTAGATGGGGGGGCTCTCCCCTCTTAGGACGGGAGCAGAACAGCCGGGCTGACCTTGGGGAGCGTGTCAGCTCTGAGGAGGGCATTGGGCTGGCAGGGCACTGTGGGACCAGGACCGAGTCCTTCCCTACCTGGGTCGTCCTCGGGGCTGCCTCTTGGCCTCCTCGGGGTGCCTCCCTCGGGATGGGGAGCGGGCCCGGGCGCCCCGGGGGCTGCTGGCACTTCGGAGGGTCCCACTGCTGAGCTTGGTGCTGGGGGCCGAGGGCTGAGACTGGCTCTGGGGTCCCGAGGGCGGGCCAGGGGCCCCAGAGGACGAGGCCCCCGGGGCGGAGAATACCATCCAGTCAGGGAGTGCCATGCTGGTATCGCTGTTGGCCCGCAGCAGCGCGGGGGGCACCGTCAGCCCTGCACCTGGGGGTCCCCGTCTCCGTGCTGCATACTTGGGGGACTCCTGGAAGGGCACTGAGAGGGCAGTGGTGGTTGGGGGCAGATGAGGTAGAGGTGACAGACAGGTGGCATGGTATGGGCAAGAGGTGGTGGGGGAAGGGCCGGAGAGAGACAGAGATGAGAAAGAGCAGGGGCCTAGGGTTGCTCCCCCCACCACTCTTGAGGCCGTTCTGGCCCTCTGGGGTTTTCTCCATCCCATCCTGGCTCCTCTGTCAAGCCCCCAGCCCCCCAATCCCATCGTGAACCCCAGTTGCCCTAGACCCCCCTCTTCGCTCCAGGCCCCACTCGCTCACCCACGTCCTGTTCCCGATGGTTGCGGATCAACTCCCCCAGCTCAAAATTGCCAGCAATGACGGCCACCTGGAGGGAGAGGCACAGGGAGGGGTGGCCCAGGTGGCGGAGAGAAGACAGGAAACCACCTGAGGTCCCCTCCAGCCCAAACCCTCCCCTCTCCCTGACCAGGGGCACCCCTCCCACCATTCCTGTCCCAACTGTCTGTCCACTGGGTCCTCTTTATCCTCCCTCCCGGCCCCTGCAGCCATTTGACCCCCTACCAGCCCCAGACCTGGAAGGGTGTCTGTCCATTGTTATTTTTCACATCCTTATTGGCGCCTCGATAGAGGAGGATCCTTGCACAGGTCTCCTGAAGGTGACAGCCAGGGGCACAGGATGAAAGTTAAAAAAAAAAAAAAGATGAAGGTCACCATGAGTGGACGCAGGCACTGCACTGGGAACTCTGGGAATGACCCCACCTGAACCCATGCTGCATAGGGCGCAGCCGCTCACGGTGAGTGTCGCCCACCAGCACTTTCAAGGTGGACTCCTGTTGCAAGGACTTACACAGAGTTGCGCAAAAGAAATTAAACATCTCGAATGATTTTTGTATTGACTCTGTATTGAGGTGAGAAGATATTAAATACATTGGGTTACATAAAAGATGCTACTAAAATGAATGAATTTCGCTTGATGGTTTTTCCTTAAACGTGGCCACCAGGTGTTTAAGGACACGCGGAAGATGTGGCTTGCGTTATATTCTGCCGGACGGGTGCTGATCGGAACCAGGGCTTCTCGACCTTGGCATGCTGGCTTTGGGAGCCAATGAGCCTTTGTCACACAGGGCTAGGTTCTGCACTGTGGAGTGTAGAGTGGCATCACAGGCTTCTGCCACTAGATGCCAGTAGCAGTCCCTTCCCCAGTCATGACAACCAAAAATGTCTCCAGACATTGCTAACTGTCCCCTGGGTGGGGGGGCAGGGCAGAAGCACCCGGTGGAGAACCACCACTCTAAATCTTAGGAAGGGCTGACTACGTGGCAGGTCGGGTGCTCAGCCCTTCAGAACTGAGCTCACCGAATTTCCTAACAACTCAGTGAGATGGAAATCATGGTCCCTATTTTACAGATGAGGAAACTAAGGCTCCAGAGGAGCTCAAGGTCACACAGTGAATGACTATCAGCACCTGGATTTGAGCCCACACCTGTCTCACTCTGAAGCCTTTGATCTTAACCACAGACTTTGCCAGGTCCAGAAGGGAGGGGGCACACACCATGGAGGACAGAGGGTTGAGGACTGGGGGCAGTGGGGACAGGGATGCCATCTGCAGCCATTATGGATTCTGTATCAATATCAACCGCATGTCACTCCTCAGTGCTCTCTGGTCTATCCTCATGTCCTTGCCATGATCTGGGAGGCCCCACCTGAGCTGTCTGCCCTGCCCCTACCCACCAACTTCGCCTTCTACCATCTTTCCTTGCTGCCCACGTTCTAGCCACCCTGGCCTCCTTCGTCCTCTGTCAGGCATGCTCCTGCCCCAGGGCCTTTGTACCTGCTGCTCCCTCTGTTCGGAATTCTTCACACCAAGGTCTCCCCACTGCTTGCTTTCTCACTTCATTCAGGTTTTCGCTCAATGCTACCTCTTTAGATAAGTGCTTTGGTTTTGTTTTGCTGTAGTGGGGATGCGACTCAGAGTGGTGCATATGCCAGGCAAACATCCTCCCACTGAGCTACATCCCTAATCTTTTATTTTTAATTTTGAGACAGGGTCTCACTAAGCTGCCAAGGCTGGCCTTGAACTTGCCTACCTGAACTTGATCCTCCTGTCTCAGCCTCCCCTTCCAATGAGCTGGGATTACAGCATGCGCCGCCATGCTTCAGAGAGGCCTTCTCTGAACATTCTGTCGAAAGGAACTCCCTTGTCCTGTTCCTTTCTAATTATTTTATTCATTTTTATGTGACACTCTTGCATGTGACAGCATTCTTTGAAGCCAATGTTAACTCATTTTTTTCCAACACCATGTCCTGACATTCCGTTTTGATGTCATTTTGCTCTTTGGCATCTCCTCCCGTATGTGGTAAGTTCCACAGGGCATTGTATTGTCCGTGGCACTTGCCACCAGGAATAGTACCTGCACACAGGGACTGTTCAGTGGACAGTCAGTCAGTGGGAAAACTCTTCTGCCCTGCCTTGGCCTGGCCAAGTCCAACCTGGCTGCCCCAGCTCAACTCCACGCTGGCTTCCCTGGTGCTAATTTCAAGTATCCACAAGCCCCTCCTCTTCCTATCCTTCCAGGTAAGACCCTCCAGGGATACAGGCACAGGCCCATCCACAGGCCGGGTCCAGTGAGGCCAAATCCCTTGCCCAAGACCCACAGGCAGTTAGCAGAGCAGCCAGGAGTCCACCCTGGTCTTCTCATGCTGGTGCTCCTCTGTCTCCTACAAATGACCCCTCATAGAGGAGGATCCTATCACCAAGACCACCCCCTGGACAGCAGAGTCACTCCGGTTAGTGTTGTGTGTGTGTGTGCTAAGAATGTGTGTGTGTGTGTGTGTGTGTGTCCGAGTATGTACACGCTGTCCCCCAATGGCACTGGTGATACCTCCACCTGTATTTTTGCATATTCTCACACACTTCCAGCTCCCACGATGGGGGTACAGGGCCCAGGCACCATCCACTAGCTCCCGGGCTCTTCTACTCTACCCTAGTCCAGAAAATGCCCAAGTCTTAGTTAGTAGCTCCCTCCTCTGGATGCCTGGGGAACCTCATATTTACTTGCAAACTAGCACTTATCTCATGGGATTCAGTGATTTGTTTACGTCTGCCTCTGCGCCAGACTGTGAACTCCCCCCACCATTCCCAGGGCAGACGCTGTCTCTGATTCATCTCGCATCCCCAGCACCTGGCACGGAGGGGCACACAGTAGGTGCTTAAGAAATGCACATGGAAAGGATGAGGAGACGGAGGATGTGGAACTGTCAGTCAAAATTCATTTGTTCGTTGAGTCATTCATTCATTCACTCATTCCCTGAGTCATTCAATCTGTCGAAACAGACACCCCTGGAGCATTCTGAGGTAGGCACCTCATTCATTCATTCGCTCCACAAAGATGCAGCCTGGCATACTATATGCTGGGGGCTTGGGCAGAGCAAGTCCTCAAACTCAGCCCCCACCCAGAAGAGCGAACAGTCTAGACATGGACCTGACCTTCACCACAGAGGCTACACAGGCAGACCAAGAGGCCAGGGAGCAAGATCAAGGAAAGACGGTCAGCCCCAGCCCCAGCCCCAGCCTTTGGAAAGCTTAAAGCCTGGGAGGGAAGACCAGGGGATCTCGAGAAGTGGAAGGTGAGCTCCCATTTATTACCGCCATGCCAAGAGCAAGCAAAATGTTAACCCACTTGATCCTTCTGTGTGGTGGGCATCCATTACTGACCCATTTCACAGTTGAGACAGGGGAAGCCCAAGAAGGGGAAATGATGTGTTCATCCAGTCTAAGAGTCACTGTGCCTGCTATATCATTAATTGTTTGTGCTAAATATTCCCTGCTCAAATGAACCGTATGTCTTCCGAGTGAATCCTGATTGACACTGGAAATGATAATAATAATAACAATTATTATTCTCATGACTGTCTTCTAGGGATGAACACTTAATATCCATGATCACTCAGCCCTTTCAATCAGCTGGCTTTATTCCCATTTCAGGGAGAAGGACAGAGTCTTGGAGAGGAAAGGGGGCCTGTCCAGGGTCCCCCAGGCTGCCCAGGACTGGGGGTCCCCCTTCTCCACTGCACAGGGGCCTCAGAATCAGAGGACCTGGACGCCAAGCCTGCTGTCAGGGAGCAGGAGAGGCAGAAGCAAGCAGGAGGGGAAGTGGTCTGACTTGACAAACACAGTCCTTCCTCAGCGTTGGGCATACTGCTCACCGCCACCAGGCGGCATGTGGCCACCTGCCAAGTCCCCAGCACTGCAAGTTCTCCTGAAGCAGAAGGGGCTGGGCTGTTTTGGAAGACTTCCTGGAGGAAGGGGGCTGCCAGACCAGCAGCCTCATGCCAGGCCCTGTCTCCCTACGTTCTTCAAGGGCAGGGAGCGTGGAGAAACAGGCGGGGGCCCACGGCTGTCCAGTACAGCTCCCGCGCCTACGAGAGCCCTCCTGCTGCTGTGACTGTCCACCTCCCCTGGGACCTCCTGGGGGCAGTGTCCACCCAGCCTCGAGTTGCTAAACGCACAACACTGCCTCATCCCTGCCAGGGCTGCACTCTGGCCTTGCCTCTGTCCCCAGCTGTGCCCCCACACAGCTCCCAGGCACCCTGCTGGCTGGCTGGAGACACATGGCCTAGGAGACCTGCTGAACCCCTTTTCCTTCCTGCAGTGGTCCCACCTGCCCTCCTTCTGCTCTTCTGCACAGGCTGTGCCCTCTACTCGGCCGTCTCTGGCTCATCTCAAGGGCGCACCCTCCAGGAAGGCACCTCCACCCAAGGCAAGCCTGGGGGTGGGCTTCTGTGGGGCCCTGGATTCCCTGTGACTTCACTCTGAGCATCCTGGACTGTACCAACGGGGGCTACTGTCTGCTCCCCTCCGGGCCACAAGGTCAGCACACTGTCTCCAGCACCCAGCTCTGGGCCTGACCCAGGGAAGGCACTCTATCGGTATCTGTTGGATGGATAGATGGATGGTTGGACAAACGGACGGAAGGATGGAGGATGAAGGGTGAAAACTGTGGAGGAGCAGAGACTACGGAGGGGTGGAGGCTGGCGTCCCCGGGCCTGGCTGGGCACCATGGAGGTGGCTGTGGGGAGGGGGCTGTGCGGAGCCGGCTGGGCCCTGGGGGTCAGACCTTGTTGTAGAGAGCACAGATGTGCAGGGCCGTGTTCCCCGAGGCGTTCTGGGCTCCAGGCTCAGCTCCGTAGAAGAGCAGGTGTTCCAGGTGCTGAGAGTGGCCCCGCTGGCAGGCCTGGGAGGTCAGAGATCCAAAGGGCCAGATCAGACACAGCCTGAAACCGCCCAGGTCCTCTCCCCTGGAGCCAGGAACCCCCACATCTACCCGCTCTTCTCTTTCCACCCTGTTTCTGCCCAAGGACTAGGCTGTCAGCTTCACAAGTCTGAACGTTTGGTCATTTCCACGCCTGGGCGTCCAGTCTGGTACTCAAGAGGGCCGAGAGGCCAGGCCCGCGCACCTCCGTGATCGAGCTGTTCACTTCCCCAGCTATATCCCCTCCGGTCCCGATGTCCATGCAGCCACCTTTTCCTCTGTGCAGACCACTCTATTCTCTCTCCTGCCCTCTGCCAGGACCCCAGCATCTGAATCCCTGCCCCAGCTCCAGCCCCTGGGATGCCTTGGGGCCCGGGCCTGGCCCACCCCGACCCCTTGAGGACAAGCCTGGAGCACCTGGTGGATTTCCTGCCAGCCGTTCTCATCAGCTATGCCCAGCTGGGCCCTGTTGTACAGGAGCAGTTCACAGCAGCGGGGGTCGCCCCCCACCATGGCCGTATGGAACAGAGGGGTCAGCCCACGGCGGTCCTTGTAGTTGGGGGAGCCCCCCAGGTCCAGGAGTGCCTAGGAAGGGAGAGAGAGCCAAGGAAGAAAGGACAGATGACAGTCACACTAGAACCAGCTCATTCTGAAGTGCTGGTGAGGAATCCTGGTGACCCTCACTGGCCAAAGCCTGTCTCAGCTCAACCATGACGCCCTCCTAGACCTCGGGCCAGGCCTTTCCCCTTGCCAGGCCACTCCCATCCCTGGGGAACAAGGAGGGGACAAGGGAGATGCCTCCGAGGACATCTCCTTCTCACGTACTGCCCAGTATTTCACCCACGGGTGACCGTGGATGAGTCATTAAAGAATGTCGGTAGCTGCAGTGCCCCTCACCCCAGAGGACGCACACTGGGAGACAAGGAGAGATGAACTGTGGGTGCAGGAGGGCCTATGGCCAAGTGAGAGTGCCACTGAGACCAGAGTCCTGAAGATAGGGGTCAGGAGGGAGCCTGGGAAAGGGCGACATGGGGTGAGGCAAGTCCTGAGCCAGCCTCATTGGGGGTGCAGGCTGAGGGGTGGGGAATGATCCTATTTAAGGGATACCTCTGGGTGTGGAAGGCGGGTGACATCGAATACTAATAGGAGAAAGCGTTGAAGGAACCCTGTGTAAGGACAGCCTGCAGCAGCACTGTCCAGGGAGACCTTCTGCAGTGCTAGAGATGATCTTCAATGGTGCCACCCCTATGGTGGCCACAGGATGGCAATGACACCCGAAAGTGGCTAGTGAGACTGAGGCATTTAAATTGCAGTTTTACTTCATTTTAATTAATTTGAATTTAAACAACCCCACCTGGCCGGTGGCAACGGGTTGGGGGAGGCCTAGGGCTGGGTGTGTGTGTCCAGGGGGGAGGTCTGGGGCTGAATATGCAGGGGTTGACTCCACTGATAAAAGGCAGCTCTGTGTGGCTGGCGCTTGGCTACATTAAGGGTTCTTCAAGAAAAGAGTTGGAGAAGAGAATGGTGTGCCAAGTCCACTGGATCCTCCGAGAAAAGGGATGTTCGTCCATGGCCACCCGTGGGTGCAGCCAATCCTGGGCTGTGCGTGAAGAGAATGGAGTGTGCTGATGGGGGGTTCCTTCTGTGATGTATTTTGTGGGTACGGGGGGGGCTGCCTATTTGGAAAAGAGCATTTGAGGCACAGGGGGATGTAAAGCAGGGCTGAACTTGCACGTGAGAGGAGAGGTGACACACGGGCAGCAGGCACTGGCTGAGGAAGGGCAGGTGGAGGGTGGCCACCGTGTGCATGGGGAGGTGGGAGCACAGCAGGTCGCTGTTTTAAGGAACATGAGGTGCGCTGACGCCCGGGAGACAGAAGTAGGATGGGTGCTGCACAGGTGAGAGCCAGAGCGGTCTGGGTGTCTGAGGGAGGAGGCTGTGCTGGGGAGAGTCAGGAGCTACCTGGGCCGCTAGTGCTGCATGGGTGGGGCACACCTGGGGCCTGAGGAGTTGGAATGACATAGGGACTGTGTATTTGTCAGTCTGTGGAAGGGGGCTTTGTACCAGGGGTAGCAGGAGCAGCTATTTATAACAAACTAAAGAACTAGGGTTTGAGAGAGGACCAGGGGGAATGGAGACAGGGTCCCAGGGCGAGGGGGTGGTCACGGCAGCCTCACCGTGAGAGCCAGGCAATGCCGGGCACACGCGGCCTTGTGCAGTGCTGTCATGCCATCCCGGGCCCGGAAGTCAATGTGGGCCCCACCCAGGCACAGAGTTCGAATCACCTCTACCGAGCCTTCAGTCTGGGCCGCCAGGGTCAAGGGGGTCTCTGAGGGGCAAGAAAGGCCAGTCACATGCAGGCCCTTAGCCTCCAGCCCTTCCCACACCACCTCCTTGGCTCCCCAGCTCGACACCCACAACCTGAGGTCCCATGGTCCCCCTCGGGAGTGACAGTGGTAGGGAATTTGGCATTCCTGCCCCTGCTGCCCTATCTGGCCCCTGCTGTCCCCCATGACGTGGGCTCCTCCCTACCTCCCGAATCTGAGTCATGGTAATTGGGGTCCAGCCCCTTGTCCAGCAGGCGCGCCACCTTGTCTGACGTCCCAAGCTGCACGTACTCCAGGAACTTCTTCAACCCCGTCTGTGCCAGGGACAGAGAGAGAACACAGGCTGGTTAGGGACCTGGGGGGAAGGGCAGAGGTCTCCAGCAACACCACCCAGCGGAAATGCACAGCTAGCCACAAGTGGCATTGAAATTTCCTGTGGCCACCTCCAAAGCAAAAGCAAAGGGGAACCATCAATTATATTGAAATTCAATCTGAAGAGCTATGTTCTGTACTAATATATCCACAGCGCTCCAGTTCAGCAGGCAATCCATAGGAAAGTTATTAATAAGATACTTCACTTTTTTTTTTTTTGCACGGAGTCTTTGCAATCCCCTTTGACCCAACTCCATGTTGCAGGTGCTCAGAAGCCACATAAGGCAAGTGGCTCCCAAAGTGGATGGCAAGATTGGGAAGGAAAGAGGGTGCACAGTGTGGGGGAGCAGGTAAGAAGGGGGTCAGGGTTTCTTCCTTCCGAAGCATCAAGAATCCTCCCTCTCTGGCCACAGCAGCCCCTGACTTCCTTCTAGCTCTTAGGTGACTAGGGGAGACGAGGCCCCAGGATTGGAGGATTAGATCCCAGAACAAATACCCATGGAGAAGAGGGGTTGATCCTTGGATTCGGTGGAAATTCAGGCTATGGGATCGGGGAGTTTCAGGGCATCTATAAAGTAGTCCCCAGACGGGCAAGCAGGAGTAAGAAAAGGACCCTGAGTGGACATGGGGTCTCAGGGGAAGAGAAGCGGGAGGCCAAGGAGCCAGGTGGAAACGGAATGCTCCTGGGAAGGAGGAGCGGCCTGAGAGGGAAGAAGGAAGGGGTGAGGCTGGGGGCAATGCCAGCAGGGGTCTCTCACCTTTGTGTGCAACTTGGCCAGCTGCTTCTCATCCAGGTTGGTCTGTTTGTAAACGCGGGTCTTGTATCGGAACTGAGGTCAGCAGTAGGGTGGGGGGAGAGACAGAGACTTAGAAGCGGAAACCTGGGCAGGTAGGTCTGACCCCTTCTCACCCCCCAGGAGGAGCTCAGGGTTGATGTGGAAACAGCTCTGGAGCCTCAGTTGGGTGGGCAGACGGTGGCAGAGAGCTTTCCTGAGAGTGGTGGGTCCTTGAGGCATAGTTCCCTACAACTCCTACCTTGAAGAAGCAGGCATGAGGACCCCACAAGGAATGTTCTAGAATGCCTACTGTAACTGGGGGTCCTTCCCCAATCCATGGGGCAAGAGAAGCTTGGGATGGTGAAGGGCTTTTCCCAAGGCCACTCAGAACAAATGGTGATCTGAACGCGGCCTCTGACTCCCTGTGGGTCCTAGGATATCCAGAAGGGCTCACTGGAGTTCCCCCTGTTAAGGTCTCCACTGGAACCAGTATGTGTTTGGGGGTTGATGGCTTTAGGACAGGACTCATGTTGTCAGTGGAGGGGTCAGGAGGCTGTGGACCTCACCTCCAGGTAGGGTACCCCCTTCTCAAAGGACTGGGGGTACTCCCGCAGCAGCCTCTCCTCCTCCAGGAAATTGGCATCCCGGCCTGAGGTGGCCGGCTGGAACAGGCCGTAGTTGAGCACATCCTGCAAGCTCTCACTGAGGGCACAGAGCACCTGCTGCTTGGCCGTCCAGATGGTGGCATCCGGGTTGAAACGCAGGCATTTCTGGTGTGTGGGGGGGCAACCGGGGCCAGGGTGAGTCAGGGGTCCAAGGTAGGTTGGGAAGGAAGTGGACAGCTGGGGTGGGGGGTGATTCTGGACACAGGGGCAGGAGAAGGGGAAGCACATGGCGTCTGAAATGGGAGCCAAGGGGGCTTCCTGGGAGGACACCCAGCCCCAGAGGTCTCCTGTGCCACTCAGACTCTGTCCCCACCTCTGCTTCTGGCAAGTAGGTGGTCACTCACTGTCTGGTGCAGGTCCGGGATGCCAATCCTGAAGACCATCATGCTGAAGTGGGCGTCGTCTGGGACAGACATGGAGCGACCCTGGAGGCCTCGGGCAGAGGCCAGGCTACCAGGTGTCCCACTGCCCTGGCCCCGGGTCCCCCGAGGGCCTTGCCCTGGCCCGTCTGGGGAGCTGTCGGACTCTGAGCCCCCCTCGGGACACTCGCTGGCACTGTGGCGTTCCTCGTCCTCGCTTGTGGCAGGGCTGTGGGTCATCGTGGGGCCACGGGGCGACGGGGGACGGCAGCATCACAGGCGGCTGCAGGGGCCAAGGGTGACTGTCAGAATAGGAGCCCAGAGCCCCTCTGAGGCCACGGGCACCACTTAATGGACAAGTGGTCAAGGGCAGGTTTCCCCCACTGTTCTCATGTGCCACCTCTGCAAGTGCACATCACCCCCGATCCTGCCATGCTCCCGGCACCTGTCTCCTTCCATGCCCTTGGCCCTGCTAGCAGCCCCTGCCCCCCCTGCGCCCCACTTTGCCGCTGACCTAGTGTGGCCGTGTCCCAGAAACCGCAGAATCACCGCGGGAGCTACTGGCCCACTTTGTCAGGTCACAGAAAATGCAGCTAAAATTAGCTGAGGACAGACAGGTGGACCAACCCACCGGCATCCCGCCCTCCTGGCCTTGGCCTGGCCCCTCACCCTGAGGGAGGCTGAGGCTGAGCTGTAGTAAAGGGGAGATGGAGGTGTGGTGAGCCTGGGGCGGCAGGAGGTGCCCATGAGCAGGTGGAGTCGGTGACTTCACTGAGTGTGGCTGACTACATGTGCAGAGGGTTGCTGGGAGTTGGCCATTCCAGGGGAGCAAGGGCATTGAGATGGGTTGTCACAGATCAGAGCATCTTGCACGGGGTGTACCCTAGGCAACTAGGAGCAACAGCCTTTGGCAGTTATTGGGGCATCTTAAGAGGGCATGTGGCTGGGTAGGGAGGCTGTCCCAGGGACAGCTGCCCAGGTGTGATGGCCTGGGTGGGTGTGGGATGCTGTGAATAACCTGTGGGAGTGTTTCAGGACTGGCGCTGCAGGGCAGCTGGGCTGGCATTGCCTGCACTGGTGGTTCTACCAGAAGCATTGGTTGGGGGGTGGCTGGGAGGAGTCTAAGAAGTGAGGTGAAGATCTGGGGGCAGGGGTAGGGGTAGAGGATTTCTGGATCCTCACGGTTCTCCCCTAAGGTGGCTCTAAGAAGGTGGGTCCCTTCCACATGGGGTCTGCCTCCCTCATGTTCTCCCCTACTCCCACCCCAGCACCGGAAACCAGAATGTCTGGTCTGGTCCCTACCCCCAACACCAGGCCCGGCTCCTGCACCGTTGTCATGGAGATGGGAAGCAGTGGAGGGTACTGCTGACTTTGGGGGAGTGGGGATGGGTTAGGGGGTTGGGGAAGGGAAGACAAAATATGTGTGGAGGGAAGAGAGTTCCAAGAACTGTGGGCGAGTGAGCATCTAACCACGGCCGGGGCCCCTCCCCCACGCGTGGCCGGAGCTTGGAAGCCCCCTCCCCCTCCAGGTACACAGCCCGGCTGCCCCACCCACCCTGCCCAGCCGGAGACCCCAGCCTCCTTCCAATCCTCCGTCCGCCCTACCACACGTCCCGCCTCTCTCTGGGGCCACAGCCACTCCCCCTCGGCTGACCCTGGCTGACCCCCAGCTCCAGCCCCGCAGGAATGGGGTGGCCAGTTGGATGAAAGAAAAGCTGGTCCCCGGCCACCCGCGCGCACGACTGCCCCAGCCCCCAGGACCAGCTCGGCCCCTCCCCCTCCGGCCTCGAGGGAGGGAGCGGGCACACTCCGCCGGGGCGGCATGAATCAAACGCTCCGCGGCTAAGAATAGCTGGCACGCAGCTGGTACTGAGACGGGCTGAGGAACCGGCGAGGGGGGGTGGAAAAGGGGAG